GGGTTTAGGGTTTAGGGTGTTTAATGGTCTTAGGGTTTAGGGGGTTTTTTTTGGGGTATTTATGGGTAGGGATTTTATTGGGTGTTTTCAAGGGGGTTTGACAGGCTTTATAGGGCTTGAAAGAAGGGGAAGAAGCTATTTTTCATCATGGTAGTTGGATCCCAGTAACATGCATAAACACAGGCTTTCACCCGCCCACTACACTGATGGTGTGAAGGTGGGCAATAACACTGGCAATCGCTTGCACCCAGCGATTCTCATGGTTAATGCACATCTTGATAGCTAATCTAGGGGCCTGAATAATCACCAACACTTTTCCTCAGGGTGCCTTAATATAGTTCGAGTAGAAGATACCCGAAAAGCCGTATTCTAGTGCATTCAGGCCCCTACTGTACTTGGACTGAAGGCTTGAAGCCGGAAGCCCCTCAAGCAATGAACCCTAAACCCTAAACCCTAAACCCTAAACCCTAAACCCTAAACCCTAAACCCCTAGGCTCCAAAACATGGAACCCTCAAGCCCTGGAGCCAATGAAACCCTGCCTATAGTCTCCATTGTAGTTCCTTTTTGGGGATGCCTTATAAAACCCTTAATATAAAATGGGTTAAACCACAAAAAGGAACTACAACCTGTAGACCCTGAAGTCCGAAGCCCTCAAACCCAAAACCCTATGAAACGTAAAGCCTACAAACCCTAAGCCCTCAAACCCTAAACCCTAACACCTATGCCCAAAACCCCCAAACCTAGAAACCCAACGAGAGTGAGAGTTCACATGAATCAGTGGAGGCTCCTCCAACTCAGAGGTGCCGGGCAGGCCGCAGCTTGATAATTAGTGACCTCGGATTTCAGGCTTAGGGGCTGTAGGGTTTAAAGATTTAAGTGTTTAGGGTTTTGCCTTTTACGGCTTGGGCTTCAGGGTTCAGGGCTTGGGGATTTAAGGTTTGAGGTCTGAGGAAGGACTGTGCTATTCGAGGGTTTAGGGCGTCATTGTGGTTGTGCAAAGTCTGTGCGCGTGAGAGTGGCAGCACCTGCATCATTTTATTTTGATTTTTGATTACTATCATCGGTAAGCTGCCTGTTGCAGACAGCGGACATCTAGCTTACGTTGCCCAGAATTTGAGGAAAAGTGTGGGGGGACGGGGTGCTCGCTTATATGCTGCCAACTCGTGACTAGGATGTATACCCTAAACCCTAAACCCTAAACCCTACAGGGTCCAGATGCCGTAAGGAACCCAAAGCCCCAGCTCCTAAACCGACCTGACAGATGGAATCCACATCCGAAGGCGATGCCAAAGACCCAGGATTGAGGACAGTGGCTAATATAGGGGCCTTAAAGAATTACCTATACTATGCTGCTTAGGGTTTAGGGTTTAGGGTTTAGGGTTTAGGGGTTTCCTTATTATAGTTCTAGTATAATATACCCCAAAATCGTATTCTAATTATTAAGGCCCTCTAAACCCTAAACCCTTATAGTGGCCCTTGTAGAACCCCTATAAGGAACCCCCCAAAACCCTATTCTAATTATTAAGGCCCCTACATTAACCTCTCAACCCTAAGCCACTCCACCCCCAGCCCCGAGCCCAACCCGGATGCTATGAAAGCATCATGAACCCTATGCCCTAAACCCTAAACCACAAGCCCTAAACGCTATACCCTAAGCCCTAAACCCTAAGCCCTAAACCCTAAGACCTTAAAGTCTAGGCCTACGACCCAAAAGTCCTGAGCCCCAACCGTGCGCCTTAAGGTTTAAACCCGAACCCCTAAGCGCTTCGGAGCCCACGTGGGGCTCTGACGAAGGCTCCCTGGAGCCGTGCCCACGCCGCGTAGCGAGGCTGCATGCCACTGCCCTAGCATCCCAGAGAGCGCCACTGAACATAATGCAGGGGTCTTCATAATTAGAATAGGGTTTTGGGGGGCTCCTTATTGTAGTATATTATACCCCAAACCCTGTTCCAATTATTAAGGCCCCTCCTAAACCCTAAACCCTAAACCCTAAACCCTATATTAGCGGGATGAACACCAGCACCAGCTTGCTGGAATCTTTACTCTCAATCCCCAGGAAGTCCCTGGAGTCCTCAGAGGATCCCATCAGAATCCCTTTTAGGGTTTAGGGTTTAGGGTTTGGGGTTTAGAGGTTTGGGGTTTAGGGTTTAGAGGTTTAGGGTTTAGGGTTTAGAGGTTTAGGGTTCAGGGTCTAGGGTCCAGGGCCTTGCTGCGCAGGCAGGGGATGTTCGAAATAACACAGTTTGCCAAAAAAGAGGTTGTTTCGGGGAGTGAATACTTAGAACAGTTTTCTCAAAGAGGGTTTTATGGGGGCTTTGTGCGGTTTCATGGGGTTCAAGAAACCCCCTAAACCTCCTAAGCCCTAACCCGAAACTCCCACTGACAAGTTTGTTCCAGGTGCGAGACCCTTTGTTGTAGGGCTCCTGGATCTCGAGGTGTCGAGAGGCAGGGTTTAGGGCTTAAGGTTTAAGGTTTAGGGTTTAGGGGTTTAGGGCTTAGGGTTCCTTTAGTGGTTTAGGGTTAAGGGTTTAGGGTTTGGGGTTTACCCGGAGCCTACGAACACCTACAGCCTGCGGGTGCCTTATCATGATGTCCTTAAGTCCTTGAAAATTTCCATAGGATTTCCAAGGTCCAGGTAGGTGCTACTGCTAATTTAACCCTAGCCCCGAAACCCGAAACCCTAAACCCTAAACCCTAAAACCCTAGACCCTAAACCCTAAACCCTAAAACCCTAGACCCTAAACCCTCAACCCTAAAACCCTAAACCCTAAACCCTAAACCCCCGACCCCCTAAACC